AGCAGAGACACTTTCCATCCCACCCATCTGCCTTCCCCACTCTCCAAACACCAAATCCAGTCCACTGTCTTCAGGATAAATCAGTTTGTCAGGGAACTGAGCACCTATGTGGTGGGATGTTCCTGATAATTAAGGTTTATAATTGCAGCTGTTTTGTATCTTGGCTTTTAACCTTACGTTGGTTAAAAACAACCAACCTTACGTTGATTAAAAAGCCATCCTTAAAACATCTGGGAGCTTTGCTGAAACAATAGCATAGTTTCTTCAGTAATCTTGTATAATTTCTGGTGAATAGTAGGATACATTTAAACCATTCTAATGGAGCCAACAATACTGTTTTAAAGGGCTTTGATCATTACTTATCTTTCAGCTGATTATAGGAATCTTGTAGGAAGCATTCAAAAGATTTTTAGTTTTGAATCTCTTTATGTCTTCAACCTAGTGATGACACTAATTTCCCCTATTGCCTGTGAAAGGAAGCCTAGTTTTGTCCTCAGACGCTTTTTGTTCCCTGTGTCATGTCTTTTGTGTATGCAGATGGGGCTGATTAATTCCAAGGCCTTTGCTACATTAAAAAATCATTTAAATAACTAGACATGGTAAAGACAACGGAAGTGTTTCTGTTTAAGGAGGAAACTACCAACAATGCAAATACACACCACACACACACACACACACACACACACACACACACACACATTCTGTTTGGTGTTAATTTACAAATGCATCTCCATGTCCTGGAGACTATAGGATTTTCTAAATTAAACACTTTTTCCTTGACAGTGTACTAGTTCATTTTCATGCTGCTGATAAAGACACATTTGAGACTGGGAAGAAAAATAGGTTTAACGGACTCACAGTTCCATGTGGCTGGAGAGGCCTCAGAATCATGGTGGAAGGTGAAAGGCACTTCTTACATGGTGGCAGCAAGAGAGAATGAGAAAGAAATGAAAGAAGAAACCCCCAATAATAATAATAGCATCGAATCTCATAAGATTACCATTAGAACAGTATGGGGGAAACTGCCCTCATGATTCAATTATCTATCACCGGGTCCCTCCCACAACACAGGGGAATTATGGGAGCTAAAATTCAAGATGAGATTTGGGTGGGGACACAGAGCTAAACCATATCTGATAGACACTAAAAAAAAAATCCACAATGTCCATTAAAATGAATCTGAAATAAATGAAAAGTGCTATAAAAGCAGGCAGGTCACAGCATACAATAAGCTCCATACCTCACACAATAAGATACAGACATATATATCTTGAGGATATAGCAGGTTTGGCTCCAGACCACTGCAATATAGCAAATCCAAAATCCAGCAAGTCACACAAATTTGTTGGCTTTCCAGTGCAGCTGAAATTTATGTTTACTCAATACTGTAAAGTAGTAAGTGTGCAATAGCATTTTATATAAAAAACAATGTACATACTTTAATTTTAAGTTATTGCTAAAAAGTGCTAATGATCATCTGAGCCTTTAACAAATCACAATCTTATGTTGTTGGATGGATGCTCATGGCTGCTGACTGATCAGGGTAGGGGTGGTTGCCGGATGTTAGGGTGGCTGTGGTGATTTCTTAAGACAATAGTGAAGTTTGCAAAATCAACTGACTCTTCCTTTTCTAAATGTTTTCTCTGTACTATGTGATTTTATTAGGTAGCATTTTACCCACAGCAGAACTTTTTTGACAATTAGAACCATTTCTTTGCAACCTTCTTGCTCTTTCCTCAATGGTTTCTGTAATAGTATAAATCCTTCTGTGTTGTTCAAAGCATCTTCATCAGGAGTTGATTCCATCTCAAGAAACCACATTTTTTGCACATTCATAAGAAGTAACTCTTCATCCATTTGAGTTTTATCATGAGGTAGCAGCAATGCAGTCACTTCTTCAGGTTCCACTTCTAATTCTAGTTCTCTTGCTATTTCAACCACATCTGCAGTTACTTCCTTCACTGAATCCTTAGTGGCTCAAAGTCATTAGGATTGGAATCAACTCTTTCCAAACAGTTTGTGGTGATTTGACCTCTTCCTATGAATCATGAGTTCTTAATGGCATCAAAAATGCAAAATTTATTCTAGAAGGTTTTCAATTTTCTTTACCCAGATCAGAGGAATCACCATCTATGGCAGCTATAGGCTTATGTAGTATATTGCTTGAATAATAAGTCTTTAAAGTGGAAATAACTCCTTGATCTATGAGCTATGGAATGGATTTTGTATTAGCAGACATATAAATAATATTAATTTTTCTGCATATCTCCTTGAGAGTTTGTGGGTGACTAGGTACATTGTCAATGAACAACAGTATTTTGAAAAAAATTTCCAAGCAGTAGGTCTCAATAGTGATTTTAACATATTTGGTAACCCTGCTATAAACAGATGGGCTGTCATCAGGCTTTGTTTCATATATAGACCACAGGTAGAATGAATTTAGCACAATAATAAGTGGTCCTAGGATTTTCAGAATGATAAATCAGCATTGGCTTCTACTGAAAATCACCAACTACATTAGCCTCAGACCAGAGAGTCAGTCTGTCCTTCAAAGCTTTGAAGCAAGTCATTGACTTCTCTTCTCTAGCTATAAAAGTCCTAAATGGCCTCTTCTTCCAATGTGAGACTGTTCTGTCTACATGAAAATCTGTGGTTTAGTTAGTGTGGCCACCTTCCTCAGTGGTCTTAGCTAGAACTGCTGGATAACTCACTGCAGGAACTACACCAACACCTTGCACTTTTGCGTTATGGATGGCTTCTTTCCATACACGCCTTTCACACTAAACTGAAACATGTCTGTCATTTTGCTTTAACATAAGAGAAGTGTGACTCTTCCTTTCACTTGAATATTTAGAGGACATTGTACTGTTCCCAATTAATTGGTCTAATATTAATGTTATTATGTCTCAGGGAATAGTGAAGTTCCAGGAGAGTGAGGGACAGGGGAATGTGTAGTTGGTGGACCTGTCAGAACACACACACTTATTTAGCCAACCATCTTCTAAGGTCATGGTTCATGGGGCCCTGAAACAATTACAATAGTTACATTAAAGATCACTGTTCACACATCACCATAACAGATATAATAATAATGAAAAAGGTTTAAAATACTGTGAAAATGACCAAAATGTGACACAGAAACAAAGTGTAATGACACCAATAGACTTGCCGGTCACAGGATTTCCACAAATGAACGTCAATTTGTAAAAAACAAAGTATCCTCAAAGAAGAATAAAGCAAAGTACAGTAAAACAACATGTTTCTATAACTGTCTGTGAAGGACAAATAGTCTCAAAAGAAAATGTAGCTGGCGTTTGTTCCATAATTATTACAAAAACAAAATAAAGCTCACAAAGGTCTTAAATTGAATGGTTTCCTCTAAACATAAAAACTACCACCTGTAACATGCAAGCAGGTGTCTAAAATTGACTTTCTTCTTTTGTTAAGATTATGTGTTTTCTGAAGTATTTGTTTAAAGACAATTGTTACACAATTGTATAACAAAAGTATACACCTTAATAGGATATTTTTGTTGTTGTTGTGTGTGTGTTTGTTGCTGTTTTTTGTTGTTGTTTTTGTTTTAGAGAGCAAGAATTTTGCTGTTGTCCCTCAGGCTGCAGTGCAGTGGCACAATATCGGCTCATTGAAACCTCTGCCTCGCAGGTTCAAGTGATCCTCCTGCCTCAGCCTCTCCAGTAGGTGGGATTATAGGTGCCCACTACCATGCCCATCTAACATTTGTATTTTTAATACAGATGGAGTTTCTCCAGGCTGGCCAGGTTGGTCTCAAACTCCTGACCTCAGGTGATCCACACACCTAGCCTCCCAAAGTGCTGCGATTACAGGTGTGGGCCATCACACCTATGCTCTTTAATAGAATATTTGATTACCTGGGTATGGCAGACACTTGTTACTTTGTGGCTGCTGCAAACTTATCCACCTTCATCTGATAGCATCTCTCCCTTGTGGGTAGGTCCCCATGTTGTGTAGTCTCCATAGGAAATCCATTTCCTGGGTCAGTTGCCCACTGTGGCTTCCACTATGGGGCTAATCGTTCAACTAATTCTGGGTGGAGGGGGAGGACAGTCACTCGACTGACATTCAGATGTTCAGTACTAGGACTTTGATTCTTGAGCTAATAAAACAAACATCAAACATCAAGAGACACTACAGTATTTGGAGACACTCCAGTGACAGGATTGACCAACCATGGATCAGCCTGAGATGTCACCTTTTTTTTAAGTGCATTTTGAAAATATTTGTGCTATCCATTAGTAAAAATTACCAAAGAGGAGGATAAGACAAGCATAGAAAAATAGTAAAAAATAGAACTATTCAGATATTCTACAAACCCAAGGAAATTTACACAACAGTATTATTATTCAATGTATTGTCATGTGGCACCAACGCCAGAGAAGACTTTATTGCTGAGCAACGGCCCAGACAGGAGTTCCCAAGAAGTAGGTTCAGATCTATGAATTGGGAAATTACTGAGTTGCTGTGGGTGTTTGCGTCTAGAAATGTAGTCCGTGGACCAAGGGCATGAGTATTATCTGGTAGAATCACAGAATCTTGGGCCCTAAGATCTGCGGAACCAGTAACTGCCGCCTCCCATGATGCCCATTTGATGTTCACGTACATTCAAGTTTGAAATGATGCTGTGAATCAGGCACAGAAATGACATATGCTCTGTATTGTCTGAACTGCAGCCCCCACAGCTAGCCCGTGCAAGAAAGGGTGTAATTCAGTCTGAAGGGAACACTGAAATTAAACATTAATTCTGGAGTTTAGAGTTGATTTATTCTTGGCTACATAGGTGTGTTTTGCAGTCCTTAAAATCCCAATTATACACAGTGCGTATGTAAGAATTACATACCTAGAAAGGATGAGGGAGGGGAAAGTATTACTTTTTTCCTACATGAGGCAGTTGAGACATTTCCTCCACATTTTACCAAATCTTTTTTTCAATGCATTACTATTATTCTCTTCCTACTAAGCAGAACTTCAAGCAGAGAGGCTTTTAGTGAAAATACAGAGGATGACTCGAGAGGAATTGTGGTGCTTTCAGAGGCCAGATGTCCATCGATCAAGAATGACCTCAGGAAATAGGTGAATGTTTTTATCTTGTGGCAAAGACAAAAATCATGATTTTAAGGTTTCCAAAATGCACATGTTCTTTTTTGCGGGTACTTCAGTATGTGGGGGGAAAAGTAATTTGAAAAAAGTTGCTTAGGACTTGAGTTGAATGAAATGTTATGCTCTCCTGAGTTGACATTAAATTTTAAAAATTCATTAACTAAGACCCTATAATACAAAAAAGTGAACTTTTAAGAAATAATATGCTAGAGGTTTTAGGATCTGACTATATAAAGGTAAAGAAAAACGTTTTTTTTTTTTTGAAACGGAGTCTTGCTGTGGGACCCAGGCAGGAGTATGGTGGCATGATCTTGGGCTCACGGCAACTCCTTCGCTTCCCAGGTTCAAGTGATTCGATTCTCCTGCTTTAGCCTCCCAAGTAGCTGGGACTACAGGCAGGCACCACTATGCCCAGCTATTTTTTGTATTTTTAGTAGAGATGGGGTTTTACCCTATTAGCCAGGCTGGGCTCAAACTCCTGATCTCAGGCAATTCGCCCACCTTGGCCCCCCAAAGTGCTGGTATTACAGGCGTGAGCCACCGCACCCAGCCAGAAAACCTAATTAAAAAGAGTCTCTTTTCCATTTCTTTACTGCTAAATAATACTGACTTTTTTTTTGAAGTTTGAAAAAAGTGCTATAAATTTATTATATCTCAATAATTCAATTATTTACATCTGGCAAGCCTTTCATAGTTTTCAAAACACATTTATACAGAATAAAACATTCTTCAGCCTTCCTAATAACCCCGTAAATTAGGTCAGCCAAGCATTATTTGTGATTCTGCTTTCTATCATATAGAAGTAAGATAGGGTAGTTGTTTAAACTTTGACATTGGATGAACACTAAAGTGGGTTTGAGTATTGGCTCTGAAATTTATTCATAACTAAGACTTGGTCAAATAAATTGTATATGGAATGATCCAAAAATATTTCACATTCACCTACCAGGTGCTGGCATTCTGCTGAGCACTGGGCTGGATTGGAAGATGTGGTCCTGGATGTCATGGTCCCGCATACACATGTATTTGGAGATAGGCTCACCTTTTAAACCAAAACCCACCAGCCTAAAATGTGTATGTGTGTATTTTTCTCATATCATGCTACTGGTAACGTCTAGAATAGTGTTACTATAGAATGGAAGGAAAAGCTTTTTTTTGTAATTATACTTTCATAAACATATTTCAGAGATTTATATTTTATCTCATTTTAATTATATTTTTAAGTATTTTGATTTAATATTTAGCTTCTTACAAATTAAAGTATATTGCTGTAAATTACTTATTTTCTATGCCTGGTATTATATGGCGTCTATTGTCTGTCAAGACAGTGGCAATGAAAAAATATTTTAATTCATTTTAAAAGAACTCTCTGCAGCAGAGCAGCTGTCCTAAAAACAAAAGCAGCCCTGGTTTCGGCGCCCTTCTCTTGCTAGAGTATTTACTCTTCTGCCCTCCTGACTTCAGTCTTTGCTGTTGGAAGCGCAGCTCCCTCCCCTGCTTCATTATGGCTTCTGAATTGAACTCTGATTTTGCTCTGCTCTCTACGGCTCCCGTTTACCAGGTTGTCATTGATATGCGAAGATAATTCTCCCCTTCTAGAGTTTATTTTAGGTAAGGACAGAAAAAAAAATGCTTTTTTCTGAGACAGAGTCTCACTCTTGTTGCCCAGGCTGGAGTGCAATGGCATGACGGTACGACCTTGACTCACTGCAACCTCCACCTCCCAGGTTCAAGTGATTCTCCTGCCTCAGCCTCCTGAGTAGATGGGATTACAGGTGCATGCCACCACCCACGGCTAAGTTTTTGTATTTTTAGTAGAGACAGGGTTTCACCATGTTAGCCAGGATGATCTCGATCTCCTGACCTCTTGATCAACCTGCCTTGACCTCCAAAAGTTCTGGGATTACAGGCATGAGCCACCATGCCCAGCCAAAAAAAGTGCTTTTAACTTGATATTAACTTTATGGGTCTACCACATATAATTTGTTACATGCTTGTTGACAGGATTTATGAGTGATCCATGGGACATCCTTGAGTCTCTCTCTGGTTTGGAGAATGTTGTAGGGTTTATATGCTTCCCAGTTTATCTGTGAGTATGTCACAGAGTACATCATTTTAAAGACTGCATTAGAACAAAATGTGCTCCTAAGCTAATACTCCTGGGGGAAGTTTAAACTTTTTATTATTATACTTTAAGTTCCGGGGCACATGTGCAGAATGCGCAGGTTTGTTACATAAGTATACATGTGCCTTGGTAATTTGCTGCATCCCCCCATCATCAGGTATTTCTCTGTTATCCCTCCCCAATCCCCCCACCCCCTGCTATCTCTCCCCTAGCTCCCCACCCCTAGACAGGCCCCCATGTGAGATGTTCCCCTCCCTGTGTCCATGTGTTCTCATTGTTCAACACACACTTATAAGTGAAAACAGGTAGTGTTTGGTTTTCTGTTCTTGTGTCAGTTTACTGAGAATGATGGTTTCCCGATTCATACATATCTCTGCAAAGGACTTGAACTCATCCTTTTTTATGGTTGCATAGTATTCCATGGTGTATATGTGCCACATTTTTCTTATCCAGTCTATCTTAGATGGGCATTTGGGTTGGTTCCAAGGCTTTGCTATTGTAAGCAGTGCGGCAATAAACGTATGTGTGCATGTGTCTTTATAATAGAATGTTTTATAGTCCTTTGGATATATACTCAATGGGGTTGCTAGGTAAAATGGCATTTCTATTTCTAGGTCCTTGAGGAATCACCACACTGTCTTCCACAATGGTTGCATTAATTTGCACTCCCACCAGCAGTGTAAATGCATTCCTATTAATCCACATCCTCTCCAGCATCTTTTGTCTCCTGATTCTTTTTTTTTAATTGCATTTTAGGTTTTGGGGTACATGTGCAGAACATGCAAGATAGTTGCATAGGTACACACGTGGCAGTGTGATCTGCTGCCTTCCTCCCCTTTACTCACATTTGGCCTTTCTCCCCAGGCTATCCCTCCCCAGCACCTCCCCACCCCACTGTCCCACCCCTATTCCCCCCAATAGACCCCAGTGTGTAGTACTCCCTTCCCTGTGTCCATGTGTTCTCATTTTTCATCACCCGTCTATGAGTGAGAATATGCGGTATTTCATTTTCTGTTCTTGTGTCGGTTTGCTGAGAATGATTGTCTCCTGATTTTTTAATGATCTCCATTCTAACTGGCATGAGATGGTATCTCAATGTGGTTTTGATTTGCATTTCTCTAATGACCAGTAATGATGAGCTTTTCTTCATATGTTTGTTGGAAGCAGAGATGTCTTCTTTTGAAAAGTGTCTGTTCATTTCCTTCACCCACTTTTTGATGGGTTTTTTTTCCTTGTAAATTTAATTTCTTTGTAGATTCTGGTTATTAGTCCTTTGTCAGATGGGTAGATTGCAAAAATTTGTTCCCATTCTGTTGGTTGCCAGTTAACTCTAATGATAGTTTCTTTGGCTGTGCAGAAGCTCTTAATTAGACCTCATTTGTCAATTTGGCTTCTGCTGCCATTTTTTTTGGTGTTTTAGTCATGGAGTTTTTGCCTATGCCTATGACCTGCATGGTATTGCCTATGTTTTCTTCTAGGGTTTTTGTGGTTTTAGGTCTTACATTTAAATCTTTAATCCATCTGGAGTTAATCATTTTACTTGATAATCTGCTTTGAAATCAGAAATGTGTAAAAGAAGGGGTCACTAACTTTCTAGTTATTCTTAAGTATATACAGAGGGGCATTGGACAAAACTTAGATTTTCTGCAAAACACTTAAATACATGTGGATTAGAAAGGAATGATTATAGTTTAATATAAGGGTTGGGAGACTTTTTATGAAAAGGGCCAAATAGTAAATAATTTAGTATTACTTGGTTTTACATTTCTGTTGCAACTATCCCGTCATTATAGCGCAAAAGAAGCCACAGATCATACATAAACGGGCATGTCTATGTTTCAGTCACACTGCGTTTACAAATAGGCAGTGGGCAGAGCTTGGCCCATGGGTTCTATTCATAGTTTGTGAACACCTGGTTTAGTATATTGTAAATACATCCCAAAAGCATCTCTTATGTTCTTTGGAACCCTCAGGATGAAGAAAGCACAAACAAATTTCCTCAGTGGGGATTTCATGTAAGTATCCATACCTCCCAGCTGCCATGAGTTGTCTATTTAAAACCTAGCCATAAGCCGTGTATGACTTGTGATGCTACAGTGATGCTGAACCAGTTCTTCCCCTCCAGAAGGAGGTATGCACAGCTGTATTGCAGTCACATTAGTGTCATCTCTCAGAGGTGAGGAAGAGACACACAGGCACCAAAGCAGATCATGCAATTATACTAAAGGAATCTCAGCAAAACGGTCATTTGTCTATTTTCTTTTTCTTTCCTTCTGCCTTTTGGTTTTGTTTTGTTCTTTGAGACAGGGCCTCGCTCTGTCACCCAGGCTGTAGTGCAGTTGTGCAATCACATCTGGCTGCAGCCTCAAACACCTGGGCTCAAGAGATCCACATCAGCCTCCTGAGTGCATGACTACAGGTGCATGCCACCACATCCAGTTAATTTTTAATTTTTTTATAAAGACAAAGTCTCACAATATGGCCTAGGCTGGTCTCAACCTCCTAGGCTCAAGTGATCATCTGTTTTGGCTTCTCAAAGTGCTGGGGTTACAGGCAACCGGCCAGTCCATTTTTAATTATATAAGGAACGACTTGTTTTTATTTATGTTATAGCTTGTTTTTCACTGTATTTATGTGAATCTAACAGCTACAAAACTACTTCAACTTGTATTTTCTTTTCAATACCTGTAGTTTAACTAAGTTTTAATAGCAAAGAAATTGCTCACTTCTGCTTGCTTGGGACCAAAACATGAGACTCTTATACAAGGGTCAGCACCCTAAGTTAAATAACGGATGTTTAGTTTTGATGTGCATTGGTTCAGGGTCCTAAGTCACCTAAGTTTTAAAGATAGTTTCTTTCTTTACTCCATCAAAGGCTAGGATAACTTGGAGGCTCTTCTTCCCTTGCCTCTATCCATCCCCTGATGTCAGTGGCCTGGCCATGCTCTTCTCATGGTAATGGACAGACACACAGAAAGGCAAGTATGCACAAGTGAAATGGGTGACAGTGCCCTGTTTCTCTGTAAAATGAAAAAGGACAGTTAGAAAAGGAGAAGTCCAAAAGGAAAACCAGAAGGACACCTATAATACAAAAGCTCTCAGATAATATCATTGTAAGAAGAACAGACATGAGAATTAAGAATGTGGAATGAATCTGTTAACCTCATCATACCTGGGTACTGCTGAAAATAATTTGTGTACTCCCCAGAACTTCTCAGAACTGATCTAAACACTTAAATAGTATGGATTTTATGTTAGTAATTGATAATAACGATCTTAACAAATTTTGCACTGGTGATACCTGTGTATACAGCATGGCTATAGAGTCTTGACATATGTATCATTACATTTTTTAAATGTATTTACAGCTTGATTTTGTAGACTAGAACCCCTTTGCTTACATTTAGTAAAATATGTCAAAAGGACATATTTATGCATTGAACATCAGAGAGAAAAATTATCTGAAGCAACACACCAGATACATTTTCAGGTACTGATAGAACTGTTCTATTAACATACCATGTTCATTAAAGTTTTGCACAGAACATCAAACTATGCATTTTCTAATGAGATAACATACTGAATGAATCATATATTACACAATACAAATGACCATTTACTAAGTTAATTTACTTTTTTTTCTAGACTTTATGAATGGCTTGAAAAACTTTAAATAGGAATTTTGTCATATTCACTATATTAATATTTTAAATGGTTAAAAAATGACTCATGAATGAACATGATTAAACTATCAGACAAAAATATTACACGGTATTGTAGCTTGAACATCAAACTATAGCTCATGATATTTTTAATCATTCACTTTGTAAGGACAATTTGTATTCTGACCCAATCATTTTATTATTTAATGTTTAGTTTAATCATGTTAATTATATAGTATTATATATATTATATTAATTATATTATTATTATATATTATATTAATTATATTATTATTATATATTATATTAATTATATTATTATTATATATTATATTAATCATATAATTAATTATAGATTAATACATATGCCTTTTTTGTCTTGATTTTTAAATTAATATAATATTATATTAGCTGTAACACAAAATAAACATTTTGTTAAAATTCAAAATTCTGGTTCTTGTTTTATAAAATATATATTCTCATAAAGTTATTAAGTGAAAAAGCCTGGCACAAAAATCAAGATTGCAAAGTAGTTTAGCTTTTTGACATTATCAATGTTATTTTATTAGTAAATAATTTTCTATTGCATTCATTGCTATTAGTTTTTATCTCCTTGACAGTTTCCATTGGTTTCTTCTCTAATTTGCCTGATATTGCCTCTTAAATTATATGTGTATGTAGGTGTGTTCAAATGTATATATAATGATGTTTTGAGTGGTATATTTACAGTACAAGTTTATAGAATTTTTTATTTAAAAATGTACCTGAAGTGTTCTAATATTAATGCTTTTTATTTGCTTTCAATGGCTTACTAACTCTTAGGTAAATTGTTATTGCAAAAATTAATGGCCATATTTTGTATTTTGAATAGAAAAAATACATATCAGAATGCCAAAATATGCATCGTTTGTTTTGTATGAAAAGTAAGTGATGTAACCTTTCTAGCATAATAATTTCATTTGAGAATGTATCTTGAGTAATCATCCCTAGCACAAAACTTTATTCTAGATTTACATTCCCAACTGCCTAGATACTTGTGAAGGATGGCTCAGCAAAATCTCCATTCTTAGCACAATGAAATAAAATCCTTGACCTTCCTACTCCCTCACAAGCTTGTCCTTCTAGGACTCTCTGACTTTGTCATTGGCACGTCTATTTGCTTTTAATTTATTATGTTTTTATTTTTTTAACTTGTTTTTGCCAGAAAACTGGTAGAAGTTCTTGACCTTCTCTTTCTCACACCTCCAATTATAGTCATAGCCCGGCCGTTCGCTTCTCCCTGCTTCTTCTCTTTGTCCTTTTCAATCTAGTCCCATGTAACAGTCCAAATAGAGAAAATGTACATTTGTCATGTCACTTGTTTCTGTAAAACTCTTCAGTGACATCTGCTTATAGTTAGGATAAAATCCAAGGACCTTACTGTTCTGAACGCTACTCTGAACTCAGGCCTGCGCTAAATGCACAGCCACATCTCTCTCTGCAGTGCATCCCCACTCACAGATGATGCTAAATCCATATTGAATTTGCCTCAGCTCCCTAGGGGACTGAAGCTTTTTCATAATTGTGGTCTTCCTAAATGCCTGGAATGGTTTCCCACCTCCTTGACTGGCTAACTTTATGCTTGAAACTAAAGGTTAAATTATCTTCAGGAAAAGGCTTCCATTAGAGCTTAATTCAAATCAGGTCAGACTGTTTCTGTGGCTGCACTTCTCGTCTGTAACTGCATGTTAATTGCAGCACCACGTGTTGAAATGGGTGAAAGTACAAACAAAAATCTCCGCCATGTGATTGAGGATCAAGGAGGACAAGAGATCTGGGCTCTCGATTAGCTGTTACAGCCCCCAGTACCTAAGAACATCATATATGTAGGTAAAATACAAATTTAGTGTGTGAATGTGTAAATTTGCTTTTTAAACAGCTACGTTGTTCAGTGTCCTTTGAATATTTCTTGATCTGGACAGTCATTTCTGCGCATTGAATGCTACAGATTGGATCTGACCACAACCACACAGGACACATTCACACACAGCTGGAATTAATTAGTTTCTTTGTAAAAATTAATAAAACACAATAAAAAATAAATACTAGATGGCTTGGATTTTTATTCTTTCAGATTCAAAACAAGTAAAAGAATAATGCCTTGACTTTGTATTGGAATCCCAGTCTAGCTGGGTAAGGTCATTGCCATAGGGAAAAGCAGTGAGGTTTCAGAGGCAAGGCAGTAGGAGCAGTACCCCATGGAGACTTTAGAGTGTTTAGAAGCAGTAATTGTAGAAAATTTCAAGGTAGTGATAAAACTAACTAAAAGTCAATCAGCTTTTTATTATTACCATTGCCTGGCAATTTTAAAGACTCAGTGATTAAATACTCCTCTGGGGGAAAAGAGAACTTTTGGTTTCAGTTCTAAACTTACTATAATCAAAGTTGAGTTTCTATACTACAGGTGTATCCTTTAAATTAGAAGAATTACTCATTACACTTTAATAAAACCTGTTTTCTACTTGAAAATTAATTTAGAGAATTCACTATTGCATAGTTCCTGTCTCAACGGGACTCAGCTATGTGCTTGTGTTTTAGGAGATTAGTTCATAATAATTTGAAACTGAGCAAGTTGAAATCTCCAAATAGCACTACATATTTCTACATTGAAATGATACATTTGAAATCAACAATGCCAGCACAGTGATTGTAATGGCTAAAAAGTAGGACATGAGTTGTTTCAGTTCTTCTATTTTATGTGACCACTCAAGTTTTATATGTGTTTTTAAAACTTATGGTGAAACAGACTTCATAATGCAAGGTACTTTCTAAAATATTTTTGTTTGGAAAGTATAAATTTTTCTTTTTTTTTTCTAATTTTATTATTTTACTTTAAGTTCTGGGATACTTGCGCAGGACTCCTACATATGTATACATGTGCCATGGTGGATTGCTGAACCTGTGAACCTGTCACCTAGGTTTTACGCCCTGCATGAATTAGCTAATTGTCCTAATGCTCTCCCTCCCCTTGCCCCCAGTCCCTGACAGGCCCCAGTATGTGATGTTCTCCTCCCCTGTGTCCATGTGTTCTCATTGTTCAACTCCCACTTATGAGTGAAAACATGCGGTGTTTGGTTTTGTGTTCCTGTGTCAGTTTGCTGAGAATGATGGCTTCCAGCTTCATCCTTCCTTGCAAAGGACATGGTCTCATTCTTCTTTATAGTTGCATAGTATTCCATGGTGTATATGTTGGAAAGTACAAATTTTAGTTCATGCAGGAAATATTTTCATAAAGTTGCGTATCTTTCCTTTTTAAATTATTATATTTTATTTTGTAACTAATATTATGCAGCAATCAGAAATGATGAGTTCGTGTCCTTTGTAGGGACATGGATGAATCTGGAGAACATCATCCTCAGCAAACTGACACAAGAACAGAAAATAAAACACCGCGTATTCTCACTCATAGGCGGGTGATGAAAAATGAGAACACATGGACACAGGGAGGGGAGTACTAAACACTGGGGTCGATTAGGGGGAAAAGGGGAGGGCCAGTGGGAGGGGGAGGTGGGGAGGGATAGCCTGGGGAGAAATGCCAAATGTGAGTGAAGGGGAAAAGGAAAGCAAAGCACACTGCCATGTGTGTACCTACGCAACTGTCTTGCATGTTCTGCTCATGTACCCCAAAACCTAAAATGCAATAAAAAAATTAAAAAAAAAAAAAGAATCAGTAAGAAAATGAAAGGCTTCATTCATGATGTGATTTATCAGTTGCCTAAACTGTACCCTCTGCTGATGTCTGAGTTTTATTTAAATCCATTTACTAGTTACTGGATGGGTAATTATCTGCCCATGAGTATTACATATTATTACTTTATCCACAGAATTGAACTTCAGCCTATTAGGAAGATATAAAAACTATTAAAATAATTTTTAATATTTTTTCCTTTTTTTGTGTTTTTCACTTTTTTGTACTGTAATTAAATAAGTACATTTGTTTTAATGAATAATTAGTAACATCTATATGGAAGATTATAAAAAAGTGCTTTCTGCATTTCTTTTTGGACCATTATTTTATAATATAAATTATGTCTTGATGACTATTGAAATTATGAGATATTGAGCAGGAGGTGTTAAGGAGTGATCTACGTTGGTGTCAAATATGCTGGGTATGTCACTAGTTCCCTGTTAATTAAATTTTCACTGAATATGACAGACATAATATTGTACTTTTGTAAAACTTTTCCAGATTCCTCCGGTGTCCATAGGAATACTCCCTTTCCCAGGGCCTGGACATCCCCAGGGACTCCGTGGCTACTTACAGTTATAAAGTTTGAGAAGAAGCAAGACTGTCACTTTCTTTTTTTTTTTTTTTTCTTATTTTTTTATTGCATTTTAGGTTTTGGGGTACATGTGCAGAGCATGCAATACAGTTGCATAGGTACACACATGGCAGTGTGTTCTGTTTGCTTTCACCCCTTCACCCACATTTGGCGTTTTTCCCCAAGCTATCCCTCCCCACCTCCTCCTCCCACTGGCCCTCCCCTTTTCCCCCCAATAGACCCCAGTGTTTAGTACTCCCCTCCCTGTGTCCATGTGTTCTCATTTTTCATCACCCGCCTATGAGTGAGAATATGCGGTGTTTCATTTTCTGTTCTTGTGTCAGTTTGCTGAGGATGATGTTCTCCAGATTAATCCATGTCCCTACAAACGACACGAACTCATCATTTCTGATTGCTGCATAATATTCCATGGTGGATATGTGCCACATTTTCCCAATCCAGTCTTTCATCGATGGGCATTTGGGTTGATTCCAGGTCTTTGCTATTGTAAACAGTGATGCAATAAACA